AGTGGTATTGCCATAAAAAGAACCTGTCGATTTTCAAGAAAATCAGAGTGCCCTTTTAACCAGAACGGTTGCAATTTGATCCCAACTGACGCAAGCCCCTTTAATTAGAGAAAGTGCAAGGGCAACTGAATCGGCGAGTCGAGTGCCGCATATGAATCCTGGGCAGAAAATGACGCATGGCAGAGTCATAAAAAATCAATCGATTCCCCGAGCAAGTGGCTTCATATCTCAGCTGAATCTCTTTGGCCAGCAGCTTCCATTTTCCGTTTGCCATCGCAGTGGCATTTTATGCATTCCACGCGTTCTTCGCAAATTGAATTTAAAGCTCAGTAATAATCAGTTTATTGCGTATACGACCAGTGGAGCGGAAAACGGAACGCCAAACGCCGAACGCCGAACGCGGAACGCGGAACACGGGAAGTAGACATTTGCATGGTGCGGTCCGGGGTTCAAAGGGGCACGGGCGGCTGGGTGCTCTTGACTTGGAGGCGACCAGGGATGTGGTGTGGTGGCTCTGGAGGAGTATCTTCGCTGGTGCCGCTGCTATAAGGCAAATGGCAAGGGCATCTGCGCTAAGCATCGTCATCCGTGCACCTAACGAAGGTTCCCCAACTAGTGACGTCGGCGGTGTCTCCATCTCTCTCTCTCAATCGGTTTACCCTTCTCTTTTGCTCGCAGTCTATCTCTCAGGTTTTTAACTGGGTCAGGGGCTAACAGCTCGACGCCGTCGTTGTTGTCCTTAGAGTCGTTGACGTTTGTCGGTTGCGGTTTTCCGCCGCCACATCCACACTTATTCGGAAAACCCCTTTTCCATCGCCAGAACTTAAAAGCGTCATACACGAAAATAAAACTGAAATATTCCTCTGATGAGCTGAAAATTTGCCATAACTATATAATGTTCAATTTTGTGCCCCTAAACTATTTGGTTTTATGTAAAGTTATTACTGCAGCTAAGACACTTGTAACGGAAATGAATTAAATTCGCAAAAATATAGTTTTCAAAAAATGAGGTTGCAATTTTCTGAAATGTTTGAAATTTATTGAAAGATATATTCCTTAAATGCATATTTACCATTTCGAATACCTCGAATTAATTGCTTCCAGTGCAGATGTGATGATCGGCTTGTTCGGACGTGACCTCCTCCATCTTTTTGCCACATAATTGAATCGGCTGTGAATAAGGCCACCGGCGAGTGAACTGCATTTGGTACAGTTTCCTTCCAGCGGATGATGGTAACTTTTTTGCCCTTTTTTTGGTTATTTATATGCAGGCCACGCCCCGTTCCACGCTCGAAGCATTCATGTTCAGCTGAGCAGACAGAGCCCGCTTCGCACTTATTAATAAACCAAAACGCTCGCGAATCCAAAGGCGTCACTCTGGCGTGTTGTGCCTTGGATGTAAACCGAGCTAAAACGGATGCTCGGATGCCGGGACATAAATAAACTGCAGCTAATTTAAATGCACCGACCCTGAGACGCCCCAACGCCCACCACCCCATGGAAAGACAATCGCAACAATTTGCATTGTGCCACGCGGGGCAAGGATTCCTTTCGATGTCCTGAGATCGCTTCAGCCTCAGAGGTCAGAGCTCGAAACAATCCGAAGTCCTTAAGGACACTTGACCCACTAAAATTCAAAGTGACACCTCGACGAGATGACTGACGAGGATGAGCACCCGTATCCGTATCCTTGGTCTAATCCTTTCATGGGATGAAACACTTGGCGCGGGCCTAACCCAAATACTCGTATGTTTGCAAATAATGAAGCTTTTGTGTTGCTGCCCCGCTGTCGATTGGCCTTCGAACATTGCAAGAGCGTGGATGACGTCACACACAGACGCACACACACAGCCAACCACCCACATATAGTGGGCATACATATATACTGAAACACATAGAGCCGATTTGGTGGCTTGCTGAATGTCACGCCCCGCCTCTCAGCTTAAATTTAGCCAAACGAGAGGCGACAGCCCATAATTGCCGCAGCAAAGTAAAAATAAAATGCCAAAATCAGCAGCACCAAATAGCCCGATATGGCATTTGAGCCTTTAGCATTTAAGAGGCTTACCGCACCACACGCGCCCCATTTGGCCAAAATGCTCGAAAGTAGGCAACGAAAACGGGCCAAAGCGAACGACAAATGTTTATGGAGCAGTTGGAAGTCAGAGGGCAACAAAAACACGATGTGACAAATGAGCGAATGAAAATGGCAATTTTAATTGTCGGAGGTTTCGGGGCGCAGACAATTAATAGGTGACCGGCAGTGGGAAAAACAGGGGCATTGAGGTTTATGAAAAAAATTTCAAAATGAAAACGGAAAAAACATTCCAACCCATGTATAATGCATTTTTTACTATCACATACCTATAATAATAATCAATAATAATCAAATTAAACATACGTTTTCTAAGTAAAATTTGTTTTAATTTACGCTTAAAGTTATATTTTGAAGAGCCTCTCAATATTTTTTGGTTAAAGTAAATTAATGACATTTAATAAGTAAAGCAATATAAAGTGCAATATCAAGTTGAAATCTAGTTCTGATTAGGCAGCTCCTGAGTCACGCCCATTTGTTGGGTCAGTAGAAAGGATTATTAGAGCCAGACTCGCCCAGCGCTCAAATATCACGCACCCTCACACACATACCCACACACACACAAACACAAAGCAGGGTGTGTATCCTTCAACTGCAGTTTAAATGCCAAATCAGCGTAAATTGTTCGTCTGGAGGGGGCTTAGCACACAGCTGCTGCAATAGAGGATGCAGGGGGAGGGGGGGACTGGTGTCCAAAGGACCTTTGGCTTCTGCAGAATTTGCCAAGCGGTTGTTGTAGTTGTACTTTCTGTTGTCCCGCCTGCCGCTGTTCCTGCCTTTCGTAATGTCACTCGACGGCAACTGCAATGTCCTTGCAGCACGAGTTCATTGGCCCAAAACGCCGAGCTGCAGCCTGCAGTTGCGCTCTCCGCGAGAGAAAGTAGCTAGTAAGAGAGAGAGAGAGAGGCTGTCGGTGTGCGTGAATTTCGGAAGGATGTGGCAGAAAGTAGGTGAGAGGCTGGTGAAAGTAGCCATGAGAATGAGAGCGAGGGAGGGAGGGAGAAGGCCGGTTCAACGGACGGCAAGTAGGTTATAAAATGGCAAAAGGCCGGCCCTAAAAGAAGCATACCTATGACGTCATTGTGAAAGCCGCACAAGCACTCACACGGAGAAAGGCGGCCCAGAAAGAGAGGGCGAATGGAATCTGCATTTTCCATGTGCTTGTGTCTTTGTGCAAAGGCGGCTTAATTTCCAGTTGAGGCAAGAGAGAATATGCCTACTTTTACTTTCAGACATTACCACGGCCTACCCCAATTATCTCATCCCCTCGCATTATAACATTCGCCACCCCATTCCCGCAATCTTTTTCTTGCTGTTGTGTATCTGCAAGTGTGAATATATGACTCTATGTGAGTGAGTCGCAGCAGTACACACTTAATGCGGCAAATATGCTGATAACGCATCTAAGTGCATACAAATGTTTTAGTAAATTGTAGTAAATAGAGAAATATGTAATGCTGTTGATGCATTCGTAAGCGAATGCTTATAAGTCCTTAGTTTAATATTGAATTAAGAAATAATATAACAAAAGTTAAGTAATCTGAATATTGTAATATACAAAAATTAAATTACAAAATAAGGAAGTTAAAGTAATAAAAAAAACAATCTACAGCATTGGATTTTAAAATTTACATATCGGTAATATGTAATCATATTAAAACTACTGAATGCCAAATGTTTAAAGCTAACCACTAGTCAATCACTATAATATCAGAGATGTCACATATCTTCCATATAATTGAACACCAAATTTTCCACTCAGAACCAGCGATACAAAATGAAAGCACAAAGTACACCTTTAATAGAAATGATTAAGAAGTGAAGAAAAGACCAGACATTTACCTAGACTCATTAGCAAGCGATTTCAGATCGAAGAAAACACTAATCACAATAGAGCGTACTGAATAATCTAAGGGAAGGAAAAGTGCAGAAATGGAAGCCAGACAGCGCGGAAAAGCCGGAGACCCAGACACAGAGATACCAGGACAACAATAAGAGTGGCACCCAGGACCAAGAAGCCACAGACAATGGGAATCAGACAAAAACATGTGCCACAACAAGCCGCCCCATCGGCGGTAATAACTCGTCTTCACACCTCAGGCTGAACTGGAGTCCTGGCGGGAAAAACCTTAATAAAATCCCCATTGCAGCCAGTGTCCGCCTAATGGAATATGCCGAGGAATTTTGGAAATAACCATAAGGCCGACAGCAAAATATTCCGCCTGTCATGCGCTAATTATGAGCAGCCAACCTTTTGACAAGCCCCCTAAGTGGAAATTTTTAAAGTAGCAGCACGGAAATGGGCTTGCCAGAAAACAAACCCCATGAATAGACAACATTTTTATGCATTCAGTGAGAGGGTTACCCCATTCGAAAAATATATGATAAACAGAAAAAGGGATATTCAAATATAAATATAAATGGTTAGCATAACAATATGTAGGTTTATAGTAAGCTACGCCATTTCATTTCTTGCAGTGAGCGTACAAAATGAACAACTTCAAGTAACATTTATTGCAATTATCTTCGGCATCCATTGCTGTTCTATTCCCACATCACTCAAAAATATGCATACCCTTTTGCCAGGACCCATAAAAATGAGCAGAAATATTCCATTTGCTTCGGGGAAAACCGGAGGCAATGGAGAACAGCTTTTCACCATTGAACATCCGAGAAAAACACGAAAAAGAAAAGCGCGAGCAAAAATTGAACGGAAAAGTACTGCGTGAAATTTGCATGAGACAAATGTGGAAAGATACAAACAACTACTCTGTGAGTTGTGCCGAAGAATGGAAAATGGTATGGTAAAAGTATCCGCAGGAAAAAGGAGTAGGAAAATAACTGGCTCAAATCAACAAGCAATTTTGCATTCAAACTTTGGCGGACTCAAGAAAGTTAGCCTGTATTAAAAGTCCGGCTCATTGAATTCGAATTTATTAAATAGTTTACTTGCATAAGCCCTCGTGTATCAAAGCTTAAGATGAGATGAGCTCCTCAGCCTCGTTTCGGTCCTCCAAGTAGTCCACGTTCTTCTCGAAAAGATAGGCCTGCAGCCAGTTGGAGTCCTTGAACTTACCAGAGAAAACGGGCTGCCAGTTCCAAATGAGGTGTCGAGACTTTAATTCGGCACTGAACTGATTTCTGTTTCGGCGGCAGAAGTCAACAAACCGACTGCCGAAGATTTGTGCCAACTCGATACCAATATGGGAATGCGCCATGTGAGATTTGTCCTCCGTCATGAAAAGCTGCTCAAACGCAGCGCGCTCTGGATGAAACTGACATCCAAAGATGGGAAAATGCCGGTGCTCGACAATTGTGATGAATTCCAGGCCTGAAGAATCCTTCTGAGTGGCTAGAGGATGCCAATCCTTAGCCAATCCAAAGGCTTGCAAACTCTCTTTGGTGATGCAATACCGATGCTGGTGGCAGGCAAATGGGTGCTTCTCCATCTCATCGGCAACTGACTTCGGCAGACTTCCAAGGAGCTGTGAATGTTGATAGTCATCGGCTAGTTTTACTGGCATCGCTTTCCTCATGGGCTGGCAGCCGATTCGAATACTCGGTGCTTCGGCGGCGTGGATAAGGAGCAACTGGAAGCCAAGACAAGTTCCCCAAACTGGAAAGTATCCGCCAGGATCATCCAGTTTCTTCGCCCGCCGATTACGCTCCATAGATAGTTGGTAAATGAGCTCGGCACTCCGGACACAATCGCTGCTCAGATCCGGATTCGCTTGCCTATCAGCCTCGTCGATGAATACGGCTCCTCCTGGCAGAAGGATGCCATTTAACTGACTCATCATCAAGTCATAGTAAGCTCGATCTCGACCGATCCTGGGGAATACAATTATTTAATTATACTAGGGTGTTAATAGAACATCGACCCAGCTAGCGAACATTTGTTCATGCCATGATTTCATTCAAAAATTGCATTATTCATCGTATGCCCCCGCAGTATTAAAATGAAATCGAAAGCACTTTTGTTTGCGCAATAAATAAACTGTAAATATGAACACTTTTCGTAGCTCATTCGTTAATCGCAATGCGTTCTGCTAGACTTTTTGGGCAAATCGCCAGGTGAGGTAATTAATTCTCGTATGCTTATACGATTTGTTTATTGGGCACCGCCAATGCCCCAACGCCCTCCAAGAGCCTCAAGTAGAAAGCGGGCAGATAGATGTGCCCCTTTGGGCCGCGAGTGTGGTCCAGCAACTTGACCACATCGATGCACGATGCATAGCCAACTACGTGACTTCAGATCTGAACAGCTTGGAATGCTTTCGACTAATAATAAATATGATTATACAAATTAAACCGTACTAAAATATACAAATTGATTCTGCACCCGTTTTGCACAATCGAACGTTTTAGAAATAGTTGTCATTATAGTAGTCATTCCTTTATTTAAATAAGTTATAATAAAAACTTGAATTCATTCCTTTCTTTAAATAAGTTATAATAAAAACGAATTAAAAATCTTGAAAAGTTGTAGACGAAATTTGTACACATACATTTTGTTTTATTTAATCACCAGTGCTTTTAAGTACATACCAAATGGGCACAACATGGACGCCGGATGCCTCCAAATATTTGACATACGACGCGGCTATATAGCTGTGGAATTCCCCAGGAAAATTCCTCTGCAGGCCCGTGGCAAAATCGATGCACATCACGCCCACTGTGGGCGGATTGGGAAGTGCGCCTTCCGCCATCGTCGTCTTCGGATTTTAGACTACGAGCAACTGAGTAGCCGTCCAATAGCAATGCCAATTCATTTGCCCACTGCCCACTAAGCACTGAGCACTGTGCACTGTGCACTACGGGCTGGGCGAAACAATGACTCAAACTGGGTGCACTCGCATCCGAAACAGTGATACCTCGCTAAAGGGTCGTAAACGGAAATACTATTGCATTTACTGTCGTTTGACTGGAAAACGAAATAAAAGCGCTCATGCGCCAAGCTAAAATGGCTTGTTAGACTTAACGATTCGGTTAAACCAGGTACAGCTAGATGAAGCATTTCCGAAGTACCTAAGTTCTTGATCAAGATCACTCGTTAAACGGATCTGTCCGTTCGTCGAGATCTTGGGAGAGCAACACAGGTGCAAGTTTGTTTCAAGTTCGATATGAGTTCCTCGACTAATAGATACCCGTTAATCAGCTAGTGGAAATACGATTTGATTGAAATTTCCAATACAAATAATAAAGTGGAAAAATATTCACTTTTTACAAACCTTTTTTTGAATTTGACTGCTAAGGGCCGCCAACTGCCAAAAAGTGTGCTTGGGGTTTGTTTAGAAGCTTTTATCAGGCATTAGTAGCAGAAATATAAGTTAAGCTAAAAAAAGAAGTTGAATACACTTACCGAATGAAATAGAGAAGTTATTATCGCCGTTACTCGTAGAGTAAAAGGGTATACTAGATTCGTTGAAAAGTATGTAACAGGCAGAAGGAAACGTTTCCGACCATATAAAGTATATATATTCTTGATCAGGGTCAATAGCCGAGTCGATCTGTCCGTCTGTCAGTATAAAGGCATTCATCTCAGGAACTACAAAAGCTAGAATGTTGAGATTAAGCACGGCCACGACCAAAATTGTCACCCCACACTTTTGAAAAATGTGATATTTATTCACTTTTTATATATCTTGTACATTTCTAAAGATACAAATCGAACAAAACTCTCACGCTCACTTTTAGAAAATGTTTAAGTTTTTTTTCACTTTATTATATTTATTTATTTTGAAATTTCTCGTTAGCACTTCCACTAGCTGAGTAACGGGTATCTGATAGTCGGGGAACTCGACTATAGCATTCCATCTTGTTAAATATCGATTTCGTAAGAACACTTAATGCCCGTAATATTTTATTAATTAGCTATTAGCAATTAGGTAAAGTGCTGATTAACTAGTTTTTAATATTAGAGGTGCTATTCGCAATTAGTGATACAAAAAATAAATTGCAAATGGAAACACCCATGGCAACAAGGACAATCTCTTTTTTGATCAGCAATCCCATAGGTAACTTGAAAGATAAAGTTATAAAATCGATCAAGACAAATATATCAGAAAAAATCGGGTGCATCCCAAAGTCCACGCTAAGTTCAAAGTTCTGTCCACAACTTTGCCGAGCAAAGAAGCCAATTAATTAATTGATAAAAGAACCAGAGTTAGAAGTAATCCGCTAAGGAAAGGCGTAGTGGCAGAACCGTCATCGCCTGGTACAATAATGGGAATATAGCCGCCACTACTACCCCCCTCGTTATCACCGCCTTCATCAGGGATATCCGGAATTTCCATTTCATCATTGGTAAATAAATATTGCTGTATGTACGCAGAGCCCAGAATGGAAGTGTACTCCGGCATATAGTTGTAGATTAGCGTCCTGGCCTGCTCCGTGGCATTCGAAAAGCTCTGGCTACTTTTTCTCGCCTCACTCACAAAGAAATCCGCGAAGAATTGCCCACTCAACACAGCAGCTGCGGTATGAGGAATGGTGTTCTTTGTAAACTCGTACAGCGGCTTCTCCGGATGGAATTGTACCCCATAGAAGGGGTATTTTATGTGCTCTACAGTGGAAATGAACTCTATGCCATTCCAGTCATGATTTAGGGACATAACCCGCCAAGTCTCGTTTAGAAGATCCCTCTCGAAGACTTTTTCCGTGTAGCAGAACTGATGCGAGTGATAGGTCACATTCTCCTTGACCATGGTGTCGACCACATCGTCACTGATGGATGCAAAGAGGCGGCTCTTGTAATAGTCTAATAAGAATATGTAGATTCTGCATTTTAAATTTAATTCATATTCATATAACTATACCTTCTTTAAATTCCATCGGCAGGGCCATTCCGGTGCCCTCGCAGTTAATCCGGTGTTCAGTTTCGTTGGCCAGTTTGTAAACCAACAATTCCATGCCAAGACAAGTGCCCCAAACCGGCATAAAGACTCCCTGATCGTTTAGTTCAATGGCCAAGTGGATGAGGTGTTCACCCGCATCGGCATACCCATTGCTCTGATTAAACCAAGTGGCTCCGCCGGGCAACAAGACTCTATCAAAAGAATAATAAATTTAAATATGGAAACTTCCTAGAAAGTATATTTATACTCACCCATTTATCTTGTGCATGAGATCGTCGTAGTAGCTGCGATTGCGACCGATCCTGTCAAACGTATTTGTATGAAAATTGTTTATTAATTGATTTCAGGCAATCTTATCAATACAACGCAATTTCGGTCTCCGAATAAGATTTGCTCTATTATGAATTTATGTTCTATAAATACACGTGTCGGAATACTTAATGCTACCCATTCGGCCTTATCAAGCTCTGCCAGAATTACTGGTTTTGATAACATCTAAGTATCTGTCGGCTCACTTACCAAATCGGCACAACTCGGGCTCCAGCTCCTTCGAGATACTTCACATACGAGGCGGCTATATAGCTGGTCTTGTTGTCAAAGTGCCTCGAGATCAGCCCATCTACGTAAACTTCCTGCGTGAGAACCCCTATGATGGGTGATGAGATGTCTGCCTCTGACGAGGCCAACAGAGTTCCGATGAAAATCACCAAGCTGATCGGGAAGATATTCATTTTTATGGATCTTAAAACGAGTGTTGTATCGTCCAGATTATTTGCAGTTCTTGTAACTCGTAGAGGTGTTAAGCACTTTCTTTTGTTCAGTTAGAGGTATTTCCAAAAAAGTATCTTCGTTCCTAAGTGCCTAGTTATGAGGTATTGATTATTTCACAGGTAATTCCTAACCAACACGCTAAGTTGGCAAGCAAGCTTCTCAAGTTTCTTTAAGTTTTCCGTTTGGGAGAACTATTCCCCAATAAGAAGTCTTGGCAATTCCACAAGTAAGTCCAAACTCACTCGCCAATTAGTTGGAACTGACCGCTGAGGCGTCGATCGATTTGAACTTATATACGGTACGGGAACGCATAAGTTTGCTGTGTATTTCTAGGTTCTTCAGGGGGGTGTACCTCTGGCGACTTGAGTCCAACAGATAGTGCAGCGATTAACTGATTATATTATTTTTCCAAAGTGCTGTGACCGTGGCACATGGTGCTCAATGAGAGGGGGAATAACTTCTGGGGCTTCCATCGAAAGTTGGATAAAAACCTGTTTTATTCGGGCACTATTGGATAATTAACGGTCATAACGATTGGATGGCGATTTTTATTCACATTATAAAACAAGCGAAGTCAGTGTTATTGTTTACTTAACAGTTGATAGATAGCAACTGGTGGACATGTGTGCGTGATCAGAACCGATTGCCGAGTCGATTAATGCCAGTTCAGCTGCCCAGCAAACTTTGTTGCTTCTGTTTAATGCTGTTCTGAATACTCAGGAGGTATTTCATCGCTACGAGGGTTTCTTTGACTCCCGGAAGATCTTTGCTTTCGAAAAGGATGTTTAACTTCTGGGCCATATCCTCTAGTTCCTTGATAAGTTGTACATTTAAATCCTCCAGCGTTTGGGTGTCTTTCGCATCCTCCACCTCCTCGTTCCGCTCCATCATGGCCATCAGAAATTCTTTGTTTAGCGCGCTATTATCCTGCGGCATCGGTTCGCCTTTCAGTTGAAGAAGGTACTGACCACGCTCCATCGGAGTGGAAAGGGTTTTATATGCCCTGTTTATGAGGGAACTCCAGTCCGCTGAGTTGGTTTGCTCCCGGGATGTTCTGTAAACAAAGGTATTTTGTTGTTGCATTACGGATTTACTTACATATGACTATACCTACTTATTACTATATTTATCAGGATGCACAATGGTCTGCAACTGGCGAAAACTTTTTGTCAACTTCTGGGGCTCCAAAGAAAATTGAATAGGGAAGCTGAGTAGTTTGAAGTAATTCTACAGAAACTAAGGGTTAAATAAGCTAAATAATATTTTTTCAAGTACTCACTATTCCTGAATTAACATCCTGCAAGTGTCCACAGTCCGAACATATCATATTTTGCTTTAATTCCGATTTCTTTTGACAATTCCAACAAGCCGTCGAAGATTCAACTGAAAATTGCCGAGCTTTTGGCAACTGAATTTGCTTAAATTGAGCAGCATTTTTGGCAAGTGGTGTATAATTTGTTGCTTTCACAGTACTTTTAAGGCCATTAATTACGCCTCGCATTTTCTACAATAAATTTAACTTAATTTCATTCACAATCGAAACCCTCAATTACACAAGCTGCCTATACAAAGAACAGCTGATAAAAACTTAGGTGGCAACGCCATTTCATTGGGGCTATCGAGCTAAACTATTATATTTAAATATTTCCTAACAGCGTTTGGAAAAGGTCAGTACTTAATCTCTTATTTAAGATGAGAAAGACCTTAAAGATTTTGAATAAGGTCTTAATAAGGTAAAATAAATGAGCAAAGTATTACGCATTTACGAAAATAGTGCAACCCAATTAAAGTAAAATATAAAATCAACTTTCAAACATAAACATAACTTATAAGAAAATAAACTTTTAGAAAATAATACAATTTAATCGTTTAAATGCCTTTAAAAATAATTTTAAATCGGGCAAAGAGCATGAAGGAATACTCGCGTGCACAATCTCAAAGTTAGTCAGACACAGAGAGTTTTATGTACAGAAGTATAAATTTATTCCAACATGTAGCTTATCATCTAAAGTTCATGTGGCATGTTCTTGAAACATGTCCTTACATGGAGTCCTTGCGGTACGCGCGGTAGTTGTTCATCTCGTTTGGAAAGGTTTTGTACAGCTCCAGCAGCAGATTAGTCTTGAACTTCTTCAGGCCCTCGATCTTGCCCTTGACCTCCTCGTTTTTGGCCAGTGCCTTCTCTACGCAATCCTTGGTATACAGCTGGGGATTCTTGTCCTGGTCGATGTAGTCGAAAAACACTTCAAAGGGCACATAGACGTCCTGCACCTGGGAACGTAGCTTGTCGATCTCTTGGAGGCCGGTCACCAAGCTGTTACTAAAGGGGCACACATTTAGACTATTGTTTAACAATATTTTAGCATTTTCTTACATTTTCTGGTTGAGTACGTTCTGACCCTGTGGCTGAAAATCGCTTACGATGATGCGGATTTGCCGAACATTCTCGATGAACATCTCTAACTGGGTCTCTAGATTCTCCAGAGGGGCAGACATTTTCCACGAATTTAAATAGTGCTTGTTTTCTGCTTATTCAGTTTATTTGTTTGTTTTCCTTCGCAGATATTTTCTTTTTTTCCCAACTCTTCTTCTTCTCGGTAACATCGAGTGACCAGGGCTACTGAAACGCAATTTTGAGTTTTCGGACATACCAAAGAGCAAGAAATAGCAAGGTCACACTGTTTGACTGCACACTTTTTTGCTACAAAGAGCGTGATTATTTTTATAGAATCAAAAACTTAATAATTGCTTAAATTACCGCCATAAGTCGACTGAAACTAAGAGCTCAGAATGTCGGATGGAGATTTGGATGCCTTACGCGCCCAGCGCATGTCCCAAATGCAGTCGCAATTCGTAAGTGAAATAGTTCTGCGGCTCCAAACCGGCTAGATTCCTCTAGAGAATTCCAAAAATAGTAATAACTTGGAATGAAGGAAAATTTGAATTTCCAAAATGTTATAAAACTCTCTAGAATATATGAACCATGGTATGTTTTGTTCATACTAATAGGAAACTTTTAATGCCTATGAGTCATCACACTCGACTGGGCCACCTGTTCCTTTAAAGGGATATTCTTCAATGACCTTTCCTTGATTTCTTCTATTTTTAGGGCGGTGGCGGCGGCAATGATGCGGAAAAGCAACAAGCCCAACAGGAACAGATGCGCGCCCAGGAGGAAATGAAGCACTCAATATTATCTCAAGTTCTGGATCAGCAGGCCAGGGCAAGACGTATGTAGATTGAACACATCTACATATTGTACCTCTTCAGCTAATATCACTTAAAATATCCTTTAGTGAACACCCTCAAAGTCAGCAAGCCAGAGAAGGCGCAAATGTTCGAGAACATGGTCATCCGCATGGCCCAGATGGGTCAGGTGCGCGGAAAACTGGACGACGCTCAGTTTGTCAGCATCCTCGAAAGCGTCAATGCCCAGATGCCGCAGAGCAAGTCGTCAGTGAAGTATGATCGGCGTCGGGCGGCCATCGATAGCGATGACGACGAGGATTACGGCTGCTGATCCGTCCGATATTCCGCCCAACTTATAATTTAAGCTATGCCCGCTCTTCACATCCGCTAAATCATGTTTATTACTTTTACTAACTTAAAACGAGAAACAAAACTAAACGCACGAATGCGAATTGATTTCTTTGTGTCAAATAGCGAATCTTAAAGCGGATTGGAAGTTCGCGCCCAGCGGCAATGAGATACATTGACATAGGACTAGATTTGGCTTACATTTAGATATATGCGGTAGAAAAGTGATCTAGAGGATGGGTGGGGTCTTCTACGACTTCTTATACGGCTTTTCATTTCGTAATCTTGTTTGATCCTTGCTTTTCTTGATAATGCTCGGAAATGCACTTTGAGATCATCTTATTTACCTTCTCAATCAAAAGGTTTTACAAGATCCACTTTAAAGTTATCATCTTACTCCTTCTTCTCATGATCTTCATCGGGATCTTCTTCTGTGACCAAGCAATCGCCGCAAAATATAGAGTACATGATCAGCGATAAGAATCCCAGTGGCAGGCCGAAGATAACAGTGGTCAACACGGGATTTCCCAGCCACATATCCCTTAGAGCTCTTCGCACTTCGAATAATGCCCGATTCAAACGTACAAAGTAAGTATCTCCTCCATAGGCAATCGCATTTTCGTTGCGGATGGATTCTAGGAAAAGATGCAGTGCCTGTGGAGTCATTTGCATGGGATCATCTTCGGGTATGAAGTGGTGTTGGGTGCTCGAATTAATCGCTATCAAGTGAGGCGTGGGTAGTTGATCCAAGATAATAGAATGTGCTATTGATGGCTCTCCAATCTGAAATGTAAATATTGATCAACTCCAAATCGATAACTGTATATGTGCCACTTACCCATCCAAATTGGAATTTGTCATGATAGCGCGCCCTGTGTTTTCTTATCACGCCCTCTACCATGTCCCGAAACTCCAGCTCATGCGTGGCTATCTGGTTGAGTTTATCCTCCTGTACCACAGCCAAAACCAAATACTTGTTTGTCTTGAGCAGCTGGTGGATATTGAACCGAGTGACTTTTGGAAAGAGTGTGAACCTCTCCACGTTCACCCACTGAAAAACGGTTTCGTTTACTTCATTGGGGTCCATTTCGTGGGCCAAATGACCATGCGGATAGAAGTGGTGCTGCTCTTCTTTGTAGACGATCACTGCTGGCAGTTTCTCAAAGTCGAAATGCTGGGCAGCAATATCCTCGCTGGTGGCATAGAAAAATCCATGCTCTTGGTAACCTTCAGCTGCAGCATAGTATGTATCCCACACCACACCCTCTTGCTGGCCCACGAAAATGAAAAATATCGTATGGGATCCCTTAAGCATGTCCACACTCTCCGTTCGCGTGACCAGCTGAACTGGAGGACCAGACATCCTCAAGGCATAATCCACCAGCTCATCGCGACCGCGATCTCCGTTGTAGGTGAACTCCATGTTGCCTTTGATGAACATGATGGTGGGATAGCCACGAACCTATAATATTTGGGATGCATAAAAGGGTCTTTGAACAAATATGGTCTATTCACACCTTGAACTCCTTTGCTGCCGCCGGATACTTAGTACAATCCAGGCGACCCACTCGAACGTTGGTGGCATGCAAAGCCTGAGCCACTAGAGCAAAAATGGGCTCTGTCTTCTTGCAGTAGCCGCACCAGGGGGCATAGAACATGACCAACCATTGTCCCTCGTGTCGCACATCGATGAACCGGTCACTGAGCTCCAAAACCTTCGACGATAGCCCCGTCGAACCCAAGGTCAGAAGCAGAGCTGTTCGTTTGGTAAATAATTAAGCGCCAGCTTCGATTTTTCTATTGCTCTTCATTTATTTACCACTTATGAGCCCGAAGGTCCACATAGAATTGGGCGACATCCTTACAGCTGGTTTTATTTGTACTTCTAAGTGTGATTTACTTGCTCTTCTTCTGCTATATCATGCTTTACAGTATTTTACTTCTTCTTTAGTTAATTTAATTAGTTGATTGGTTTATTTTCAGTTCGAATTTATTTTTCTTCGGACCGCAAAAACAAAAGAAAACATTTGCAAAAACCACCCCCTTTTGAGTGACCAGATGTGGTTGGTATCCAAAATACTTCATGAGATTCACTTTAACCCTATGCGTCACCCTTAAACCATATTGTTTTTGGATTTAATATATCAAAATCAAGTTTTTTAATTAGTTGAATTATTTAGTAATGAAAATTCATTCCGTATGAACACTTATTTTATTTTTATGAGTTCGTCCCTTAAAGCGGATAGTAAGTATTTATCAAAGAATTTTAAATTTTGTAAACTGTTTTAGATGTGAATTCTAGAGCGGCCGCCTAAGGGTTAATGTGGTATATTTTCACGGAAATGGCAACTCTCAACCTTTGTTTACTTCGCAAAATAAACCATCTGGCAACTCTTAGGCACACACGTGCATCTCCAGAGGAATTTTGTTTCAGTTTTTGCTCCTTAGTTTTTTCGACTAAATAAGTGTATTATCAAATAAAATGACGAATAATACGAAGAAGGAACCCCTGGAGAGGGGCAAGCATCAGGTGCATAATGTGCGCTTCTACACAATAAAACCGCGTGGAATTGTGAGCTTGGCATATAGTAAATCGAGCAAGTGCCTCGCTCTGAGTCGGTAAATTATTAAAAAATATAACAAGCAAAACCTAACGATTAATGTAGGGATCACTAATAAGTACACAATTTGCAGCGAAACGCCGGTCATAGAGCTGTGGAACCTGGAGCACACTCCGTATTTGGATCGAGTAATCCACCTGCCGCCCGACTCTCCAGTGGAATCTTTAGCTTGGGCGGGAAACCGCCTGTTCTCCGTGGATCTCACGGGTAAACTGAAAGAGTGGGATGTGATTAAGCTGAAACCACGATATGAGCACTCGCCCACTGGTAATGCACTCTGGAGTCTCGACGTGAACCCCGCGGAAACGGATATTGCCGTTGGCTCAGAGGAGGGGCACATTAACATCCTAAGCATTGAGAATGACGAAATCACCTATAAATCCCTTTTCAACAAGCAAAAAGGTCGCGTTCTCTGCATCAAATTTGATAAGACAGGAACAAAATTGGTGACCGGCACCGAGGGATGTGTTCGCATTTGGAACGTCCTCAAGGGAACCACTCTGCACACGATGACCCTCTCCGAAAAGAATGTAATTGTTTGGTCCCTGCAGGTCCTATCCGATAATACGATTATTGCTGGCGATTCAGCGGGATTTGTGACCGTTTGGAATGCAGAAAACGCGACACAGATCGATTCAACACGAGTTCTGGATAAAAACGTATTTGCCCTGGCTGTGAATAAAAAAGAGGATCGATTGGTTTGCAGTGGAATGCAGCCACCGCTCATCCGGATTTTCAGCAAAACCAAGATCAAGCGGGAGGAGTCCACCAGCGAGCGTTGGATTAAGTTTCTACAGCGCGATGCCCACAAACACTATGTAAAATCCCTGTTGGTTATTGACGATCAAATCTATTCTGGAGGCTTGGACGGCATATTGACCATAACCTCCAGTGAACGGATCCAGGCACATCTGTCGCAGCATGCTCCCTTTCTAAAGGGTTCCGTAGCTTCATTGTCAATCAGTAAAAAGCTTTTGCTTTTACGATATCCCAACAGCCTACACTTGTGGCGCTTGGGTTCTGTGGCTCCGCAAAGCGAGGACAAGAAGAAACCCTGGGCACATCCAGTAGGGCATACGGAGGAACTACTTCTGGAGCAGCCACCCCAGAAACTCCTCCAACTAAATGTCAAAGAGCAAAACTTTATACAGTCTGCTACTATTTCACCAGATGCAAACTGGATTTGCTACTCGACCCTAAAGGAACTCCGAATCAGTCGTTTAACAAGTGATCCCCTGCAAGTGGAGCGTCTGGTAGACGATCTTCCCGAGGAACTTCAACCAGCCAGTCATATAATTTTCACAAAGCAGGGAGATCTAGTGCTGCTCAATCCGCAGAACAATCAACTTAGTTGGTTTAACTTAGAGGAGCATCGGGTGACATTGAAATATACCATAGATTTGAGTGACAATTGTAAGAATACGGTTGACCATTTGGTTATCTCTTCGCATGGCGATTACATTGTGGCTGCGAGCTCAGACCACATAATATCGGTTTGGAAACTACATGGAAAGCAATACAAGCACCTGCTGAACCTACCAAGACATCGAGCAGGTACCACCGCCCTCTCAATGCACGAAGATCATCCACGTGTGGTGGTCGCCTACGCCAATGGCCAGCTGGTGGAGTACGATTTGGTCAATCGGATATTCACCTGTGAAACTGATGAGTACCTGATACCGGAGACCAGGCACCATTGCATCAGTGGAATCAGCCTGGATCCACAAAATCCCAATATATTTATTATTCACACCGAGACCAATTTGTATGTGTTGGAGAGGAATCAACATCTGGATCCAAGGGAGCTTGTGAGAAACAGCAAGTCCAAGAAGTTATCAAACGGAAACTGCTCTTCAGTTTCAGCCGGCTCAAAAGGCTTGAGCCTTAAGACGCTGCTGCCACGACAGGTAAGCATATTGGGAGATCTGCATTAGCATAAGACAATCATATCGTAAACCTTTGGTTCCCAAGGCAATCTTATTTAAGATAAACATATCGTTTGTCGTTATTCTATGAAATAAGAATGAGAGGACTAAAAGCTACTATCAGGCTTACAGACTATACATTTTTACGTTTTTCATTCTTCCTAAAACTGCAGTAAATCCCAAACCTCTCTCATTACTGGCAAACACTTTCACACCTCCATTTTTCTCCTTGCAGCACCTGGTGCACGTGTCTCGCCTGAGCTCTAACGAACTTGTCAACGTCAGCATTTCGACAAACAATCTGTTGGCTCCGCTGCCGCCGCCGTACCAGCGGAAGAAGTTCGGTGCCTCGTAAATGGAGCGCCGCAGGATGAAGTTGAGTGGAGTGGAGGATCTCCATCTCCATCTCCACTTTGGCTTACCCAGTAGTTTCCACTTAGTTACCAAATAAAATCAAAAGTAGAAAACAATGGTGGAGTGGATTTTTCGAAGGCTTGTGCGGCTAGCACTCGGCATTCGCACGGAAATTTGTCAAATGTATTGCCAAAAATTTGTCTCCGACGTCTCGTCGACGACTACAATGTCTCATGGTCCCATTCCCGTGATTTCTTTCAGGCGATTCTACGTGGATTGTGCAACATTTCGCTTCGTTTTGTGTCGCCGGCATTTACTGTAATTGTTGTTGCTGTTATTTTTTGGTTTTACACTGTCTAGCCAATGTCTAGACAAGTGCATACCACACAGACAGTCGAAAACACACGCACACAGAGGCGGCGGCGGGCGGCGGGCGACGGGGATTTCGGGGAGTCCTGGGGGGACGTCGATGCACAATTCAACTTTTAGCTCAAAAACTCATTGGCCGGCTGGGCCTGCTCCGCCGCCGCTCCACCATTGTGGCCGAATGGGTGGGCGTTCTGTTTCTGATTCTCGGCAAAAAAGTCCGAGTATCCCGCAGCCATATTCGAATGCCAGGAGAGGCCTGCACTTGGGCTGGGTCATGACCACTTTGGGATCAGAAAGGTGATTAAAACTTTGCAATCGCAGCTCGGAGTGGAGTTTCGCGTCCGACGGATTGCAGTATCGTCGGAATTAAAATGGATGAAAAGTATTAAACAAAACTAATTTAGAAATCGGTTCGCTTATAACTTCATTTTATAAGTCAAGGCTGCAGGACTTTTCTCTAACCGCAATGTATTCTGCGTATACTGAAACGTATATTTCCATTTAATGAAAAATGTGTATAGTCACAGTTAATTAGTTTTTTAAATGTTGTGTTCAAATGTTATTTGAAAGTATTCGAAATTCGGTGTGTCCCTGTAACACGCTTTCCATCTTGTTATGTGCATTGCAATGTGCAATTTTTGGCCATTATTTTTCCCTTTTTGCATACAATTTTTTGACCAGAATGGAAACCCCTTTCCGACTTCCCCTGGTTTCCGTAACTTTTACCGGATCTGACCAAAACCGACGGACCGACCGGCTGGCTGCGTTTGTGGGGGCGTTTTATTTTCGTGGGGCGACAGTTTTCGCATAGCAAACCAAGTGGCGAACAGACATGAATAATGAGTGAATCAAGTGAAGAATTCAAACTAAGCATACAAACTATAAATGCACACATAACGCATACGCAACGTATGCCAATTTGGCTGGAAACCCCAACCACAGTGCTCCGCCCTCGAGCGCTTTTGTCGGCATTAAAACTCACTTAGCCGTTGAAAGGCGCAGGGTAAAACGGAGTTTGGAGCTCGGGGGAAAAGTTATGCAAACTACGCAATGCAAACTAGGGGGAAAAGTCGTACTGCAGTCGAAGGAAGAAGTCGTGAGAGTCTGCCAAAGAAGTCTAGACAGGCAATGGGCGAAACTTTGGCGGTGGCAAAAAAAGTTTTTCCACATGGGGCAAACGAAATGGAAGGTGTGTGGTGGGGGAGGGCAGGACAAGGAACAATGCCTCAAATTGACATTTAATTGGTTTGCAAATTAGCCAACGAACAGAGCCACAAAGCAGCAATCTTCCTATGGGAATTTGCACCTCAAATGCACTTTTCAACGTCGCATGTTCAGGGATGCAAAGTGCTTGAGAAAAGCGTTTCATTTAAAAATCAACTAACGTGTGTATTAAGTACCCAGATAAATGGAACGTTTAATTTCCGAAGACCGTTTTATTAAATGGAACTAGTTGGGACCTACAGTTATAAATACTATTACGTTTTAAGGACTCGTTTTTTAACAATAATTAAATATTCTATTAAAACTACAAAATGCTCCTATTCTTAAATATTTTATACAAATTTAAACACCTCTACTAACTTAAGAAAATTGTATAGCAAATAATTAAAAGTTCATTTTTAACTTGACTGCCTAAGACTCCGATTTTCATAGCATTTTTTAAACTTGTCAGCTAAAATCAATAAGCCAAAACGACATATTTAGCTGGTTTATTTAAACGATCCAACACGTTAGATCCGTTTGTAACCCTGCTAAGTCCGTGAGAATCACCACCGATTCGAGGTGCTAATAAACAAGGACTCTTGCGGGCTAAA